GAGGGTGGGAAGAGATAAATTGGGAGTTTGAGATTTGCAGATACTAACTAATATATATAAAATAGATAAACAACAAGTTTATACTGTAGAGCACAGAGAACCATATTCAATATCTTGTAGTAACTTGTGAAAAAGAATATGAAAATGAATATATGTATGTTCCTATGTAACTGAAGTATTGTGCTGTACACTAGAAATTGACACACTGTTAACTGATTACACTTCAATAAATATATATATCCTTCAATAAATATAAAACCCCTTCTTCTTATACCATACTCAAGGGTGTTCATAAGATTTTATTGTCAGAACTGAGACGCCTATAACCCATAGCTTAATTATGATCACTAAGAAATGTGACCTTACATCAATCAACATGACTTTACTATTTGTTCCCGAAAATTCTTGCCCACAAAGATAGGCTGTAAATCAGTACATAACTTCATTGCTAGGTTTGGAAACTTCCTGAAAATCCATTTATCTGAATAGGTTGCTCATCTGGGTAAAAATCTCCCCTCTCAGGCACTGGGAAGTTGAACTGATCACTCAACTGGGCAAACCCCCATTTTTATCAAAAAAGAATAACATCTATTAAAACATAAACAACAAGGTCCTACTGTAGAGCCCAGGGAACTATATTCAATGTTTTGTAATAATCTATAATGAAAAAGAATATGAGAAGGAACATATATATGTATAACTGAATCACTATGCTGTAAATTAGAAACTAACACATTGTAAATCAACTACACTTAAATTAAAAAAAAAAAGAGCCACATCTGCCTTCAAGTCCCTCATCTTGCTGTGTCCACCAGCCCTAAACTATTAAACCATGCACTATGTCCAGTCCCAGTAAGATCCTCACATTGAGAAGGCCATCTTAAACTACTCCAACCTAGACAAAAAAAACCTTAGAAGTCACTCTTGGCTTTCCCTCTGAGACACTGCAAAGATTATGTCACCAGAGTGTTCTCCCTTAATGCAGTGAGAAACTTGGTTTTACTCCAATAGTTTATTCTAGTGGTCTTCTGCGGGGGTGGGGTGGAGTTAGAAATAAATCATTGCAGGGAAGAGACTTCACATTCAATAAAATTTGGGGAACATGTTAAGACATCAAGCAGATCTGGAGTACCTGGGAGCCTCCATTTTACTGTCCCAACAGAGATTCTTTGGTGCCATCAAAAGACTATATTAGGAATAAAGAAAGAGGAAGAAAAATATCTAAAGGAGGAAATTATACCAAAATGAAGATGGTAACAGCTATAGAATTTCCTTTCTTTCCTGTCTTCATACAATCAACAAGAACCTCTGAATGAGTCAACAGTTAATTACGATATTTCATGTTATAATTTATATTACCTCACCTCGATTGATTTTGAGATTGTGTCCTCATATTTTGCACCTTCATGTCCTAGTTAAAGTTCTTAGCCTGTATACAAAGCCAAGCCCTCCGTGGTCCTAGCTCCAACCTACCTCTACGCACCTCCATTCAAACTTGAAACTGCAAAATTTTAACTGCTGGTAATTCCGCTATAGTTTCCTAAACTTGAAATCTTCCTCTTGTCCCCTTCCCCAATTCCTAATCTTTGCGACACAATTTAGGCATGATTTCTTCCAGGAAAGCCTTCAAACCTTCGCTGGGGATAGGGTTCCAGAGTTCCCCCCGTGCGTATCCCTATCGCTGCATTGGGGCACTATATTTATACATTTACAAGGCTCTCATTCCCATTAAACTGAGTTTCCAGAGGAAAAATTCAGTAACTTACACATATTTGAGTCTCCACGAGTTCTACAGTACCAGGCAAACTGTGGAGCTTAATAAATGTGAGCTGAACTGACGGCTGAGGTGGGACGATTGGTGGATGAGTCAGAAAACGAAATTTCAGAGCCTGAAATCTTGTGAGTTGCTTGAATCTCTGTAGTTGAACTGCGTTGCAGGTTGGCAGAAGCGCCATAGAGGTGAGTCACGGGATGGCAATGAGGTCACAGAACTGTGAGGCCTAGTAAAGTCATTAACAACACCTGCCAATAAAACTAGAGCGGAGTAAGGAGTAGCCAGTCTCCAGGATCAGGTGCCAGGCCCCACTTCTGAGTCATCTTCCTGCAGTAACC